TATAGAGTTTATTAATGATTCATATACAAATACTAATTATATACGCTCAAAACTTTTGCAGATGGAGTACAAATTTTAAGAAAATAAATTGAAGACAGATCTTTAATAGAACTAAAACTAATTTTTAAATCTTTGTGTCTTATCTGGCTCAATAATATTAATAGATGTGAATGAAGTATTTAAAGGCACATGGACTATTCAGTACAGCTCTAGGCAAAGGGTGGTTACTAAGTTTGGTTTGTGTGCAGTTCACACACTTCATGTGGTGCATAATTCTCCTGCATGGGGTACGGGCACCGGGCACAGGGTCACAGCACAGGAGCAGTACATGGCGGGTGAGGGTCCAGGTTCTGAATATAGATCACCTAAATATGTCTTATTTGTACATTTGTTCACTTACTTCCTGTGTGGGGGTCAGAAGACAATTTCCTGTGTGTGTGAGTGTGCGTGTGTGCGCGTGCCTGTGCGTGTGCGTGTGCGTGTGTGTGTGTGTGTACATACACATGCCTGCGTGCCTTGGTGTGCATGTGGGGGTCAGAAGACAACTTTCTGGAGTTGATTCTCTTCTACAACATGGGTTCAAGGGATCCAGCTCAGATGGTCAGGCTTGGGGGCGAGTGCCTTTCTCACCCCCAACCCCTGTGAGTTACCAGCCATGTGACCTTGAGGAAATCACCATCTTTTTCCACATCCTATGGCAGCAGCATCTATTTCTTAGCTGTCTGGTGAAGAGGGGAGAAGTTAATGTATGAGAAGTCTTACATCTATGGCCTAATGCTGGAACAGTATTCACTGTGGGTCAGCCACTGAGCTGTGGACACACACACACACACACACACACACACACACACACACACACAATCTGGTGGTATATTCAGATATGTTAGTATTTCTATGCAATGTATATACATATATATATTGAATGTGCTTATATTATTAACATTATTAAGTACATTCAATAATTTAAGTCTTTCACATGTATTATCTTTTATTAAGGATTTATTTTATTTTTAATTGAGTGTGTGTAGGTATGTGCATGTGAATGCAGGTGCCCATATGGAGGCCAGAGGTGTCTCATCACCCCAGAACTGGAGTTTCAGGTCATTATTGGCTGCCCAACATGGAGACTGGGAACCAAACTCCAGTTGTTTGCAAGACTAGTACATGCTTTTAACCCCCAAGTCATCTCTCTAGCACCATGTGTATTATTTTGATCTTTTGGGGGAAAAAAGAGATGTAAAATAACATTATACCATAGCATACTGTATGTTCATTATTCTCACTTTATAGATCAGAAAACTGGGGCCCAGAGGGCTAAGTAACTCCTAGCCAATAGAAGTTACACAGCTAGCCTGCAATGGCCAGGAAACCTGGCTCTTAAAATCACCACTTACCATCTCCTGCTTACTTTAACGTTATTTAATATTATTCCTACGCTTTAGGGTACCCTAATTTGCGAGGTGATTAGTGTTTTTTCTGATACTTACACATCCATCGAGTGTCAAGGCAAGCTGGTGCAGGGAGAAAGGTGGTTATGACACTCACTTTTAAGAATAGAAATCATCAAAATGGAAGGCTGGGCATCTGTGGGTGGTAGTGGCTTCATTACCAGTTTCCTGGGAACCTCTGTATACAGGAAGTTACTCCCTATAAATGAACTGAGCATATATAATGTGTCAAGGCCAGATATGAGAGGTGAAGATATGAGCTACAGACCTTTCCTGGAAATGTTCCAGCCTAGTGGGAGAGACGGATATGGAAACCAAGAACCATAGTGCACAGTATATAGTCTTCAAAGGGGATCTGAGAGGAGGGTCCATCTGTGTATGGATGTCTTAGAAAAGACAAAGGGGAGGGAGGTGGGAGCTTTCCCATAAGAAAAAATGTATGTGTGTGTGTGTGAATCCATGGTCTGTGTCTATAATGCTGTGTCTAGGCATAGCTGTGTACAGATCTGAAGTGTTTCTACCCAGCCTTAATCATGTACTAATTTGTGAATGTGCAGGTCATCAATGGGCTGGCTATAAAGGAGAACTGGCCTGAATTCACACACACACCATAGCAGAATCAGGCCAGCCATGGCTTGAACTTCCTTTCTCCATCCAACTCCCAACAGTAGGGTGACCAGGGACACTGGACACTTACCATAACAGCTGTGCTTTCTAGAGCTCAGGTGACAAAACCCACCACAGTTTTCAATCCATCTGCCCAAATGTCTAATTGAGCCAGACAGCTTGTCTGAGTGCTGGGTGGCGAGGAGGCACAGGTAGCTGAAGGTGCACATCTGTGTGTACACTTCTGTCCTGTTAGTGCTTAGTGTTGGCTGCTGCTCGCCAGGCTGGGAATCCTCCCTCGTCCCCACTCTCCGCTCCCCACCCCTACCAGCCTGCAGAGGCAGGACTGATCTACTCACCTGTTTCCATTGCCATCTGCTCGAGGCTGGCTTCTGCCTCCACTTGGGGATATGCGTGGGCTGAGCAGGGGTGGCTGAACCAAACTGGTGCCATATTCCTTGGACTGATTCCCTTCTCTCCCTCTACCCTGCCTATTCTGGCCCACAACCCTCCCAGAGCTTATGTGAATAAAGGTAAACAGTATATATCACAGCCCTGAGGAACCCAGAGGGCCACTCTCTAGGTGGTTAGCTCCAAACCCCTCCCCTGAGGAGAATACCTCTTTATAGGACAAAGGTAATTATGGAGAGAAAGTGAAGACTCTCCTCTCCACAAACATTCCCCCAGGAAGAGGAAGGCAGGAATATAACTATAATTCTTTTACTTCCTTTAAGCTTGACCAAAAAAAAAAAAAAAAAA